GTCCCCCTGAGCCTCCTTTGCTCCAGGCTGAGCCCCCTCAGCTCCCTCGGGAACTCTCCAGCCCCTTCCCATCTCCCTCAGGAACTCTCCAGCCCCTTCCCAGCTCCCTCAGGAGCTCTCCAGCCCCTTCCCATCTCCCTCAGGAACTCTCCAGCCCCTTCCCAGCTCCCTCAGGAACTCTCCAGCCCCTTCCCAGCTCCCTCAGGAACTCTCCAGCCCCTTCCCAGTTCCCTCAGGAACTCTCCAGCCCCTTCCCAGCTCCCTCAGGAGCTCTTCAGCCCCTTCCCAGCTCCCTCAGGAACTCTCCAGCCCCTTCCCAGCTCCCTCAGGAACTCTCCAGCCCCTTCCCATCTCCCTCAGGAACTCTCCAGCCCCTTCCCAGCTCCCTCAGGAACTCTCCAGCCCTTCCAGCTCCCTCAGGAACTCTCCAGCCCTTCCCATCTCCCTCAGGAACTCTCCATCCCCTTCCCAGCTCCCTCAGGAGCTCTTCAGCCCCTTCCCAGCTCCCTCAGGAACTCTCCAGCCCCTTCCCAGCTCCCTCGGGAACTCTCCAACCCCTTCCCAGCTCCCTCAGCCCCTCCTGGAGCTCCATTCCCTTCCCAGCCCTTTTTAAGGGCTGAATCTCTTCTGGCCCTGGGGGAATTCTCCTGCTCGTGGCTCTCCATGGGTGCAGAGGGAGTTTGGGCTCCTGGGTGAGCTCTGGCTCAATTCCTGCTCTGAACCCCTTGGGGTGACCCCTGGCTCAGCCACACTGTTCTCCACCTACCCATATTCACCTTCCCAAACCTTTCCAGGTTTTTGGGAGGTGGGCAAGGGTGTGGATTCAGAAGGATCATTGGTGTAACTTCATTTTTCCCAACAGCTCCTGATGAGGTTCTTTCAGGAAGGTGAAACCCAGGGAATGAAAAGAACAAAGTCTGAGTGGCCCAGTTTTATCCTGGGCCAAAACTGAGCAGTTTTGGGTCCCAGAGTGAACCTGAACAAAGCAGGGAGGTCTGGTGTCCATCTCTGGGGCTGGGAAGGACAGGGCTGAGCTTCAGGAATGGCCTGGGGGCATTGCAGGGAGGGAAATGCCCTCTGCCATTTCCCGTGGGCTTTGAATTCCATGGCAGGGATGCCCCAGGAGGCCCGAACATCTCTGGTGATGTCCCAACGAATCTCTTGGCAAAGTCTCTTGGCAAAACAATCACCTGGGTGACTTCTCGGGGCACAAAATCTGCTCTTGGCTCATCCTGCTCACTCTGCTCTGTGTGTGTGCAATAACTGGGGTGTGCAGAGGTAGAATTTGGAGTTTTTGTGCTTTGCTTTGGTAACTGAGGGGGCAGACGAAAGCCAGGGAGGGTTTGCTGAGCCCCAGCCGTGTGCAGGGAGCTCCTTCCCTCTGACAGATGGCTGCATCTCCAGGCCGGGGCTCCCAGGGAACAAACAAATCCCTGCTGGCCTTGGAGGAGCTGGCTAGCAGAAAAAAGAGGAGATAAAGGAGTGTCTAACAGGAGAGGAGGTGAATCCCATGGAAAATGCCAGGAAGTATGCTTATTGTAAGTGTAGGTGAATTTGGTGGGAGGAAATGATGATGTTTGATTTTAGTTTAGAAGGTTGAATAATTTCTTTATTATAACTGTATTATAATACATTAATATATTATTTAAAGGAGATATTAAAATGATAGACTTGTTTTTTCTAACTACCATATCTGACTAACAACTTGTGACACTCTCTCAAGAGTCCAACCACAGGTGGATTGGATTGGTTATTAGGTTCAAACAATCTTTACTAGAATCTAATCAAGTAATTACTTCAAGTAAACAATCTTCTAAACACATTCCCCATGTGTGGGAAAACAAGGAGCAGAAATAGAAATTGTTTTATTTTTTTTGTTCTGTGCTCTCTTATGAAAAAATCCTGAGAGAGAGAAGAATGTGCCTGCCGCAGGTGGTGATGTTTAATTTTTCTCCGTGTTTTTGGTGGCTGTGTGGTGAGCAGGGAGGATGGAGGGGTCTGTCCCAGTGGGGGCTGAGGGGTGCTGAGGATGGCAGTGACACTCCTCCCCTACTCATTTAATTTTTCTATTATAAAGGAGATTCTTAGCCCAATTAGAAACTTCCTTGTGCTCCAGGGGTTCTTGAGGAGGGAATCCTGGGGGATGGCACTGGGTTGTTGTACCTGTGCTTTTTTCTGCTGGGGGGACTTTACCTGTTGTAGATGCAGGTGAACTTGGTGGGAAGGAATGGTGATGTCTGACTCCAGCTCAGAAGGCTGAATGATTATTTATTATAACTATGCTATAATACATTAATATACTATTTAAAAGAGATACTAAAACTACAAACTTACTTTTTCTAACTCCCATATCTAACTCACAATTGGTGACCACCTCTGAGAGTCCAGCCACATTGGATTGGCCACCAGGCTCAAACAATCCTCACCAGAACCCAACCAAGCATCACCCCAGGGAAACAATTCTCCAAACACATTCCTCATGGGAAAACAAGGAGCAGAAATAGAAATTGTTTTCTCTTTCTTCTCTCTGTGCTGCTGTATGAGGAATCCTGAGAGAGAGAAGGATGTGCCTGCCCCAGCTGCCCCATGGCAGTGGGCACAGCAGAGGGGCTGCAGCACAGCCCTGGCCTCTGGCACTGCCTCAGCCCCCCTGGGCACGAGGTTTGGGGGCAGCCCCTCCAACAAAACCCTCCCTGGGCAGCTGCAGGTGTGCAGAGTCCTCTGAGAGGTGGGAAATGTGTCCTGGCAGGGGTCAGGGCTGGGGCTGCAGCCTGGCCTGGCACTGGGAGGCTCAGACCATTGGAATCATGTTTTTAATTGGGTGTGATGAACAGGGTCCATCGGGGGCAGCAGGTTTGGATCAGGGGCACTCAGCCCGTGTGGCACCAGGCTGGGCACGCTGTTGGCACTCTGGGGGGGTTAACACCGTGGTAATAATGCCAGGGAAATCAGAACCCGGGAGAGCTCCGAGGGCTGCCTGTTGTCTGCCTGTGCTCCATCTCATTGTTCAGGGCCCGGATCTGCAGAGCATCTTGCATTCCCATATTTGGGGCTGAGATGGAAGCAGGATTAGATGTATGTTATTTATACGAGCCATACCTTCTTACTCAGCAGATTGACTGTCTGTGTTTATTCAGTGTCACATCTGCTGGCTCCACTCGAACAAAAAGTTTCTGGCTCCTGTTGTCTGTCACTGTGGATCCAATACAATGGGGCCAGCTGGAGCGGAGTCTGCCGTGTGTGCCATCCCGGGGAGCAGGAGACACCACCCGAACGGGGCTCTGGCCACAGCTGCATCTGCAGGGCCACAGCTGTGCTGCTGCTGGCCACCCTCGGGCTGGGGGACATCCCCTGAGTCCTGCTGGCCTGGAGGTGGGACCGTGGAGCTCAGGGCACGCAGAGCTGGGATCCCAGTATTGTGCTGGCAAAAAAAAAGGGGAAAAAGAAGAGATAAATGAGTGTGTAACAGGAGTGGAGGTGAATCCTGTGGAAAATGCTGGGAAGTGTGGTGATGTTTGGGCTCACAGAGCCCAGAGTGGCAGGGTGAGCCCAGGGTGACAGCCAGGCTGTCCCCAGAGCCCCGTGCAGCCCTGGGGCTGGGAGCAGCGTGGTGCTGCTGGCACAGGGACCTGCCTGGCTCTGTGTGCCACAGATGGGCTCTGCAGGCTGCTCCCAGCCATGTGCAGGCACCCGCTGGCACCCGAGGGGAGGCACGGCTCGGATCTGCCAGGCAGGGACAGCCCTGAGCCAGGGGACAAGGTGACAGCCCGGGCCTGGGGGTGCACAGGGCTGTGGGACCCAGCTGAGCTGGCCAGCAGCCCAGGGCTGGGGCTGCTCTCCTGCTGGGGCTCTTCCTTCTCCTCCTGAGCACCAGCCTGGGGAAAAGGAGGCTCAGGGGGAATTTCTGGCTTTGCACAACCCCCTGAAAGGCTGGAACCAGGTGGGAGCTGGGATCTGCTCCCAGGGAACGGCCTCAGGGTGGGCATCAGCAGCAAAGGGTGGCCAGGAGCTGGGATTGCCCAGGGAGGTTTGCAGTGCCCATCCCTGGAGGCATTTCAGAGCCCTGTGGATGTGGCACTTGGGGACACGGGCAGGGCTGGCCCTGGCAGTGCTGGGGATGGCTGGACTGGCCTCAGAGGGCTTTTCCAGCCTGGGCAGTTCTGGGACTGTGTGCCTCTGTCCCTCACGCTGCTCAGGGGCTGGGTGAGGGTGCAGCAGCTGGCAGGGCTTGTTCCATGCTCTCCTCTCCACAAGGTCCCTGCAGGTGCTGTCCTGCCCCCAGTGACCCCAGCCTGTGCCCAGGAGCCCCTTGGCACAGAGCTGGAGGGCTTGGATCCAAACCCCACAGAGATCCCATGGATGGAGGCTCATCCCAGCTGTGGTGGCACATGCACATCCCCAGGCTGAGGGACCTGCCCTGGCCCATTCCCTGTCCCATCCCAGCTGGAATCCCATTCCCTGTCCCATCCCAGCTGGAATCCCATTCCCTGCCCCATTCCCTGTCCCATCCCAGCTGGAATCCCAGCCCTGCCCCATTCCCTGTCCCATTCCAGCTGGAATACCATTCCCTGCCCCATTCCCTGTCCCATCCCAGCTGGAATCCCATTCCCTGCCACTTTCCCTCCCCATTCTCAGCTGGATCCTATTTCCTGCCCCATTCCCACCTGCAATCCCATTCCCAGCCGGATCCCATTCCCAGCTGCAATCCCAGCCCCATTCCCTGCCAGATCCCATTCCCTCCCCATTCCCAGCTGCAATCCCGGCCCCATTCCCAGCCAGATCCCATTCCCTCCCCATTCCCTCCCCATTCCCTCCCCATTCCCAGCTGCAATCCCTCCCCATCCCCTGCCAGATCCCGTTCCCACCTGCAGTCCCGGCCCCATTCCCAGCCGGATCCCATTCCCAGCTGCAATCCCTCCCCATCCCCACCCGGTCCCGCTCCCAGCTGTGCCCAGCTGTGCCCAGCTGTGCCGCTGCTGCCCGGGCGCTGTGCCCGGCTCTGGCGCGGGCTGGGCGCTGCGGGGCTGCGCTCCGGGAGCATCCCCGCTGCAGATGGTCTGTCTGGCACCCTATTGTGAGAGCTGAGCCCCCAGCAGCCACCACTAGAAGTGCTCGAGGTTTTTTCCTCCGAGGAAAGGGGGTAAGGAAGGAATGAGACACTCCGGGGAAAAAAAAAAAAAAAACCAAACGTGGTTGTGATTTTTTTTTTTTTTTAATCGGGGATGCTGTAAAATCTCAAGTGACACTTCATCCCACAGACAGCAGCAGAGAAAGCAAGCAACAACAAATATTGAAACAGTGGCACAACCCTGCAGACAGAGCTGGGTTGCTGTTAGAAGGAGCTGGAGTGAAATCCCTGCAGAGAGCGATGGAGCGGAGCTGATGGAGCTGAAAGCGGGATGGGAGCTGGCAGCGCTTGGCTTTGGAGCTGCTGCACGGGCAAAGTTTGCTCTGGCTTTTTCTTGGTTCTGGATAAAAGAACGTGCTTGACTTTTCCAGAAGGAATAGGAGGCAGCCCTGGATGTTCCCTGAATTTGGAGGCTGGAGGTTCCCGAGCAGCTCAGAGCTCGATTTAACACTTTATTTATTCACTTTCTGTGCCACTCTTTTGTCCCCTTCAGGACCCACTGGCAGTGCTGGTGCAGCACTCCTTTCCCTGCAGAAGCTCCCTGCTGGAGATATTACAGTATATTTTTCACAGTTCTATTTTCTTAAAGTATTTAGTCTTATTTGTAAAGCCATCTTTTGAGACTTATCTCTAGTTCTATTTTTCTTTCAACAATGTCTGTCCTATTCTATATATTTTTAAGTTAGTCTTTCTTACCTTAAAGTTTGCATACACATATATATGTTTTCCCTCTCAACAGCGTCTGCCTTATTCTATATATTTATAAGTTAGTCTTTCTTATCTTAAAGTTTGTGTGCAGATAGATGCAATGTGAACTTTCTGTTAAGTTTTGAACATTTTTTTGCAAATCTGTTTCCCCCAGTTCCCCTCTGTTCCCGCGGAGCTGGGAGAGGGAATTTGTGGAGCTGCGATTTTCCCAAAGCCAGCCCGAGCTTTTTTGTTTGCTGTTTGTTACCGTTCTAAACAAGATGGGATCTGGCCAGGGTTGTTATAGTAACTACTCAGATTTCCTCAAGAGAAGGGGGAAAAAATAGCAGCGGGCCCCATTCATGCCTTGCTGCAGCTCTCCATTCAGAGAGCTCTGGAGAGGGGAGGTGATTTTGGTGATTTCAGGGACAAAGCCACATCCCCGTAACGAGCACAGTTATAGAATTATTTATATTGAATTGTGCATCGTCATATATGGTTGTATTTATAGATAGAAATAGTAGTTAATGTAACAGAATGTAATATAAATAATGGTTAGTATAATGTAATGCAATATATAGAATAGATACATAATATAATAATATAATGTACTATATAATAATATAATATGGTGTAATAATGTAGTATAGTAAATGTAATGTGATGTAATATGTAATGTAATGTGATGTAATATATAATGTAATGTGATGTATATATAATATATAATATAATACAATACAATATGTAATGTAATATATAATGTAAAATATATAATATAATATAATATAATATAATATAATATAATATAATATAATATAATATAATATAATATAATATAATATAATATAATATAATATAATATAATATAATAATAGTGTGGGGCAACCTGGGGCAGCGGGAGCTGTCCCTGCCCACCCTGGGGTGCTGTCCCTGCCCACCCCAGGGTGCTGTCCCTGCCCACCCTGGGGTGCTGTCCCTGCCCACCCCGGGGTGCTGTCCCTGCCCACCCTGGGGTGCTGTCCCTGCCGTGGCTCTGTGGGTGCTGTCCCTGCCCACCCTGGGGTGCTGTCCCTGCCCACCCCGGGGTGCTGTTCCTGCCCACCCTGGGGTGCTGTCCCTGCCCACCCTGGGGTGCTGTCCCTGCCGTGGCTCTGTGGGTGCTGTCCCTGCCCACCCTGGGGTGCCGTCCCTGCCCACCCCGGGGTGCTGTCCCTGCCCACCCCAGGGTGATCCGTGTTCTGGGTGCTCAGCTCCCTGTTGTTCCCTTGCAGAGCCGCCTGAAGGAGGCCGTGCAGCTGCTGGAGGATTACAAACACGGCACCCTGCCCCCAGGAGTCACCAACAAAGAGGTCAGAGGGGAAAACTCAATTTCTGCTTCTTCCTGCGGCTCAGAGGGGAGGGCTCTGCTGAGGGTGTTTCTGTGCTCAAATACCCGCTGCTCACACAATTAAAGGGGGAAAAAGTCATTTTTTCAGGTGGATGAAAGCTTTTTGTCACTCCTGTGAGTTCTCTAGTATCAGCTGTGTGGCCTCTACCCCTGTTATTATTATTATTTCTGCGCAATAATTTCCATTTCTGCCCAGATGCCAGCCTGGTTTGGGCTGCTCCAGCCCCTGCTGCAGCTGTGGCAGTGATCTCTCCCAGACCACATCACTCCTGTTCCCTGGACTTTTCCCCAGTATTCCTCTGCACATGGAACTTGTGGGAGCAGCGATGAGGATTTCAGAGGAATCAAACTGCTTTGGAGTATTTTACCTCCAAGTCAGTGCCATGAAACAAAAAACGGCAATTTTTTATTTGTGGGTGTTACCTCAAACTCTTCCCCATTCCTGTCCATGACCGTGACACCAATCCAGGGTTTTTTATGGCTCTGTTTGTGCATCCAGGACAAAAGGAATCAGTTCTGTGTGATTTAATGTCCTATAACGGTGAATTGATGTCAGGGCTGCCTGAGGGGATGTACGGAGCAGCAGTTCCAGTGCACTCCCAAATAATCCGGGATGGAAGTGCTGGGGAGCCTTTCCCCCACACCCTGTAGGTCAGAAAACCTCTTTTACCCTTTTTTCTCTGTTCACAAGTGACAATTTCTTCTCATCAAAGGCAAATACAGGAGGTAAATGAAGGAAATTAAAATTCCTGCTCACTTCAGAAAGGGACAGCTGGTGTGGTAGGTGCTGTGCTGGGGAAGAGGAACAGCTTCCAGAAAAAATAAATGGGAAATTGTCACAAGGCAGTGGCCTGCTGCTCTCCTGATGTCACTGTGCTCTTCCCAGCAGCATCCGATGGGAAGGAGGGGCTGGGAAGGAGGGAAGGACTGGGGAGGAGAAGGGGTTGGGGAGGAGAAGGGAATAGGAAGGAGAAGAGGTTGGGAAGGAAAAGGGATGGGCAGGAGAAGGGCTTGGGAAGGAGGGAAGGACTGGGAAGGAGAAGGGGTTGAGAAAGGGGGAAGCACTGGGAAGGAGAAGGGATGGGAAGGAAGGAAGGACTGGGAAGGAGAAGGGGTTGGGAAGGAGGGAGGGATTGGGAAGGAGAAGGGCTGGGAAGGAGGAGGGCTGGGAAGGAGAAGGGATGGGAAGGAGGGAAGGACTGGGAAGGAGAAGGGGTTGGGAAGGAGGGAGGGATTGGGAAGGAGAAGGGCTGGGAAGGAGGGAGGCAGCAGCAGTGACTCAGCCCCATCTGCCCGAGGCAGATAACACACAGCATCTCTCGGTGACAAACCACGCAGACTTTTGACCTACATTTCACAGAGCCCGACAAAGCCAGGCTCTTCCCAGAGTTCATTCAGAATTCCAGAGGGGGAGAGGCAGCAGAGGCCTCCTGGGAGGAGATCCAGGTGAGGGAGGGGAAGGAAAAAAGGCCTTTCCTGGGAAAAGCTCTATGGTGAGGACGGTGGGTGAGTGGTGAAGCTGTGCCCACGCCCTTTGGTGTCTGAGGGGTTTGGGTGGGATTGCAGCAAGAGCTGCTCGTGTTTAATGACTGCATTAATTAAACCAAAGCACAGCTGGCCCTGAGTGAGCACCTGTGTCCCTGGAGTGTCCCAGGCCAGCAGGACAGGGCTTGGAACACCCTGGGACAGTGGGAGCTGTCCCTGCCGTGGCAGGGCTGCAACAACCTGAAGGTGCCTCCAACCCAATCCATTCCCGATTCCATGGGCAGCTCCCGGGCTGGGATGGGGGAATGGGGCTGGAATGATGTCCCCACGGCCACTGTGGAGGGGGTGAGGATGGAGGGACAGGCGGCAGGTGACCCCAGGCTGCCATGGGACACACAGAGCCGTGGTTCTGGGGTGGCTGCAGCTGCCTTGGGGACCTGGGGAAGGATCCCTGGAGCACCAGGGCTGGTCCTTCTGTGCCCCTGGGGCTGTGGAAACTGGGAAGTGGAATCCCAGTTTCCCAGGAGGGAAATTGGGCAGTAGAGTCATGGAATTGTTCAGGTTGGAAGAGCCCTCTGAGATCACCCATTCCAGCCGTTCCCCAGCACTGCCACCACTGCCCCATGTCCCCAGGGGCCACATCCACCGGGTTCTGAACTCCCTCCAGGGATGGGGACTCCACCCTGCCCTTTCCAGGATGGATCTCCCAATGGAATTCTCCCCTGAGGCTGTTCCCTCCCTCCAGAGCCCCAGGCCTCTCACTCCCATTGTCCCCACCCCAAATTTGATCCAAAGCCACCTGGAAAATGCATTTTTGCTTTCCTGGAGCTGAGACTGGCAGATTTCCTCACTTTTCCATGCATCACTCTGCAGGATGGGCTCTGGCTGAGAGGCAGTAACAATTTGCAGGTTTCTGGTGCTAATCTGGGGAAGGGGAGCTCGGGTGCTCTGGAGAGGAGCCTGGTGTGTGCACACCTGCAGGGGTTGGTGCTGGAATAAGGGACTGAGCCACATCCTGCGTGACAACCGAGCGTGTCACTCCTCTGCTGCACTGCTGAGGTGGCCACGTGTGGCAGGGCACCAGCAGATGGAGGGAAATGAGATTTTTGACTGATTTTGGGGGGTTTTAGCCCTCTGACCGGGATCTGAGCTGATCCCTGTGTGTCCCCGTGGGCAAGGAGTGGGTGCTGGAGCTGTGACCTGGGAACACGGAGTGTGAGTGAGGATAAACTGCAGCTATTGCTCCTCAGAAGGGCTGGTGGCACTTCAGCGAGCTCGGGGCAGAATTGGCTTTATCTCCTTCAAGAGCTGCTTCCTGTTTGGTGGCTCGAACCCCTCACCTGAGAAACGCTGCTCACCTTCAAAAATGTAAAAGCTTTAACACAACCTGATCCAAAATGCAGGAGAAGGCTGAAGGGAGGAGACATTCCGGGAGCAGAGGGCTCTTTCCCACGGGTGCTGATGCACAGCAGGGAGGTTTGGAGTGAGCTGTGGGATCCACAGCAGGGAGGTTTGGAGTGAGCTGTGGGATCCACAGCAGGAAGGTTTGGAATGAGCTGTGGGATCCACAGCAGTGGGGTTTGGAATTAGCTGTGGGATCCACAGCTGTGGGATCACAGCAGGGAGGTTTGGAATGAGCTGTGGGATCCACAGCAGGGAGGTTTGGAGTGAGCTGTGGGATCCACAGCAGTGGGGTTTGGAATGAGCTGTGGGATCCATACCAGGGAGGTTTGGAGTGAGCTGTGGGATCCATACCAGGGAGGTTTGGAGTGAGCTGTGGGATCCACAGCAGGGAGGTTTGGGATCCACAGCAGGGAGGTTTGGGATCCACAGCAGGGAGGTTTGGAATGAGCTGTGGGATCCACAACGGGGAGGTTTGGAGTAAACTGTGGGATCCACAGCAATGGGGTTTGGAGTGAGCTGTGGGATCCACAGCAATGGGGTTTGGAGTGAGCTGTGGGAGCCAAGCAGCACCAGGCTGCCCTGTCCCATACAGCTCCGAGCTGCTGCCCTGGGGGCTGGCAGGGCACACAGAGCCCCACGCTCCCCTCAGAGGCTCCAGAAGCACCTGGGCA